TGAAAACATGTTCAATATCATTAGCCGTCAAAGAAATGCAAATTAAGTGGATTAGACAAAGGGGATTGAAGGGAGGGGAGAGGGATGGGAATAGGAAAGTCAGTAGTATGAATTGGACATAACTTTCCTATGTTCACATATGAATACACAACCAGTGTTACTCCACATCACATACAGCCACAAGAATGGGAAGCTGTACTCCATGTATGTATAATATGTCAAAGTACACTTCACTGTCATATATATCTAAACAGAACAAAGAAAAAAGAATATTAGTGCAGTTAAAGAAAGAATAAACATGAAAAAAAGAACTCAGCAATATATTACCTCACACCAATCAAAATAAGTGAAATAAAAAATAATGAGAAAACCAAATTCTGGTGAGGATGCAAAGAGACCAGCTCACTCACATATTACTGGTAGGGATGAAAAATGGTCCTATTCCAGAAAACACTTATAAAATCAAACATGCAATACCCTGTGGGCCAGCAATTGCACTCTTGGGCATTAATCCCAGGGGTATTAAAACTTACATTCACACAAAAACATGTACACAAATATTCCTAGCATCTTTGTTTGAAATAAGTGAAACTTGAGTCACTCCAAATACCCTTCAACAGGTGACTGGATGGACAAATTGTGGTACATTCATAACATGGATATTTCTCAACCAAAATAATGAATGAGCTACTGATAATATCTGCAAAACCTTCAATAAATTTTCACAGAATAATACTGAGTGAAAAAAACAACAAATACCAATGATTGTATGCTATATGATTTCATTTGTATAACATCCTTGAAATGATGAAATTATAGAAATGGAAAACAAATTACTGGTTGCCAGCAACGTCTTAGAAGTTGGGAGGGTAAAGAATAGCAGGAGGGATTCTTGTGGTGTTGGAAATATTCAGCACCTAAACTGTGATAGTAAATAACATGAACTTGCTCAGAAGATAAAATTGTATAGAACTTAACACACGAGAAAACCTGAGTAAGATAGGATTTTAATATTGTTCCAATCCAACTGATTGAGGCAGTGTGATATTTTCCCATAATTTTACAAAATGCCACTATTAATCACAATATACAGGGCATATCTCTCTCTCTGTATTATCATTTACAACTATATGTGAATCTACAATAATTTCCATGCAAATTGCCTTTGAAATTATCAAGGAAAAGACAAGTATTCACCTTTTCTCTTATTTTAATAGGTACTTATTAAGTATAACATAATTGATATCAAACAGTGAAAGTTTTCCATATTTTTATTTCAATGAAATAGCAATAGATATTATATTTTCTTTTAGCTTAACTCAAATAGCCTCCTATTATCAAGAGTTAAAATACATTCAAAACTGCCCAAAGCAAAGACGTGGACACTTATTTTCAAGATACTGATCTAAAACAGCTAATTCCCTCTATGAGAGGCTGATGGAGACATTCAAGAAAATCCAGCAAGAATTCTGGACCAAAAAAAAAAAAATGCCTGAAAATATTCAGCCTCATTCCTCCACCTCACAAACCCCTGTGCAGTCAGAGTCCTATCACCCATCAACACAGAAACTTCCAGATTGATGTGAAAGGCAAATCTTTCAAGTGGACATTTTATAGATTATTGACTAAAATCATCTGGAAATATTCATCACTGTGATGGGTCTGTTGATAAGGATGGGATATTTGTGATTAAAATGAAAATAGATTCATTTAACGCTAGTTACCATTAGGCATCCATCAGGAAAGAAGCCAGAAGCCAATTCAGGCAGAGAGCAGAGGGCCTTTGGACCTACAAATCATGTCATAGACTTAGTGGCTCCTTGCACTTACCCCGGGAGCGCTGTAGGCTGCAGGGTCTATGACTTCAACACTGCACACATGCGGATATTATTTAGAACTCTCCAAGGTATAGATTTACATGACCATCTGCCATCTCAGTTGCTGTTTACATCTGCCTTAGAAGGGGGAGGGACAAAATCAATTAAAGTGCATGTAGAAGGTCTTGAAAAAATCAAGAGCAGCAACCACCTAGACTTGAGGGAAGTATGCATGTCTCTCCAAAGGTGAAATAAGTGGGAAGTAACGAAAGGGTTTCTTAAAATCCTCAGGCCCTGTACACTTGGAAAAATGAGAAATTACACCCCATTTGATTCAAATGTATGATATGTCAAGATCAATGTATTGTCATGAGCAACTAATAAAAAAAAATCAAGTTAAAATACCGTAAAATAGTTCACCTCCTTTAAAAAGCCTCAGGAACTCTCTCAACAATGCATGCTTTCAAATTAATTTACTTTGATAAATTAGACGTTGTAAAAATTAAAAACTTTTGCTTTATGAAAGATACTTACTGTTCAAAGGTTTAAAAAGACAAGCTACAAATTAAGAGTAAATATTTGCTAACTGTATTTCTGACAAAGGATTAATATCCAGAATATATAAAGAACTTTGAAAATTCAACAACAAATATTAATACAATTAGAGAGCAAATAAAAGACACAAATAAAAATATACAGGTGACAAATAAGCACATAAAAGATGTTAAGTCTCATGAGCCATCGAGGAACTACAAATAAAAATTACAATGAGATATTTCTGCATACCTATAAGACTGACTCTAAAAAAAGTGACAACACAAATTGCTGGGGAAGATTCAGAAAAATTGAAGCAATTGTACTTTGATGGTGGGATTAAAAAATAGTCCAATTACTTTAATGGCATCATAAAATTAAACATGCAATGGCCAAAACTTGCACTTCTGGATTTTCACACCAGAGAAATGAACAATTTTGTTCATACAAAAGCCCCTATACAAATATTCATAGCAGCTTTATTTGTAACAGCGAACGAAATATTAGGAATAATCCAGATGTTCTTCAACAGGTGCATAGAGCAAACTGGTGTGTACCCCAGAATACTACTCAGCAATAAAAAAAGGAACACATTTAAGTGATGGACATTATTATCCAAAGTACATGTATGAAGACACAAATTGGTGTGAATATACTTTGTATATAACCAGAGATATAAAAAATTGTGATACACACACACACACACACACACACACACACACACATTTGATGCAGGCAACAACTTGGATGAATCTCCAGGGAATAAAGTTGAGTGAGGAAAAGAGAAAAACACAAAAGATCACACACTATGATTCCATTTTTATAACCTTTTTGAAATAACACCATTAAAGAAGTGGAAAACAGATAAGTAGTAGGCAAGTGTTAAGGAATCAGTGGTGCTAGAGAAGGTGAGGAGGAAGGAGACCGGGGTGCCTCTTTAAGGGCAAGATGGGAGAGGCTTGTGGTGGTGGAAAGCCACTGTTTCTGCCTGTCTCATTGTCAATATTCAGGTCTCCATATTGTACTATAGTGTTCAAGCTGTTGCTATTGGGAGAAGAGTACGAGTGTTCTCCAGCTATTATTCTTTACAACTACATGTATGTGGCTCTACCATTATCTCAGAAAGGTGACACTTCAAAAGAAGTGTCACCTTTTCCACTGAGGTTGGATGAAGATACTACTCACTCAGTGGCCAAAAGGCTTTGGACAAGATGAAGCAGGAAGCCGGGCACAGAGACGGTATCTAGGTGTGGGACGGTATCTAGGCACCGTCCCACAGAACCTGGGCCTTTCTTCCTAACCAGGAGTAGTGCCTTTGCACAGCCTCCATTTCCTTCCAGAAGGTTCCAAAAAGAAAGCAACCAAGTGAATCAGACAAGGATGCCCACTTCCTGCCAACTTGTTACCAAGGCCTCTGAAGAAATCCTAACCCTGCAAGTCAACCTCAAACTAGTTTACTGTGATTCCAGTTCTGTTATTTAGAGGCTCGTCAGTGGAAGGGAAGCATCCGTCACCCATTACCAGAGACAAGCAGGGGGAAAGGGGCTGCCCAAGACCTGTACTGCAGGTGACCTCCAGGAAGGAAACAGTGTGCTTGATCGTGATCAGACATCATCTGTGAAAAGATGTCTCTTGGGCATCATTGGGTGGTATCTGGGCTACCCTTGGGGGGTCTCAAGCCCTTCCTTCCTGTCTGTGCTGATCCCTACCTGATCTCTGGGACTGTCCTCACTGCATAAAGAATACCCAGAGCCATGACTGTGAAACTGCAGCTCCTCCAATCAGCACAGAGAGCTCACAGTGAGCTTTCTTCCCCTGCACCCCTTGGCTCCAAAGCATGTGTACCACATGTGCATTCCTAATACTGGAACATTTGGTTCAGTTCCTTTGAAGGAGTCAACTTTTCCTGGCTTCCCCATCCCAACCTGCGTAGTAAAGAGTTGCCTTCTTTGCCATTGTGCTATTTGGAATACTCTGGTGAGCAGTGTTGCAAAGTGGTTAAAAGCATGAACCTAGCATCCGGTTGCCAGGTTCAAACTCCAACCCTGGCATTTAGTAGTGGTGAGATCTAGGGTAGATGATTTGATCACTCTGAGTTCCAGCTTCCTCCTCATTATAATGGGGAATGACAGTCTCTCATCTCACAGGGTTGTTTGAGGATTAAATGAGTTGATACATGTTTAGAGTTTGGAAAAGTGCCTGATGTATGGGAATATTAACACCATGTCAACAATAATAACGATCGCTATTATTACTTTTCCTTTACCTCATCATCATATTATTCTAAGAAACAGTAGAAGTGGTCAAAAGTCTGCTGAACTGAAATTTAAATTGATTTGAGGGTCAATTTAAAATATGCTGTATCACCGTAAGGTCAAGTCATTTAACCTCTCTGGGCCTCAGTTTCCATATCTGCAATATCAGGCAAAAAAAGAAAATATAAAACTATTGCTGGATTGTTAGGGGGCTTTAAGGATGTAGCTGCTTAGTCGGAATTTCTCTGGTTTGCACACTGTAAACTCAAAGCAGGATTCGATGCATTGTACTTTTCTAATATTCAATTATTGCTGTTGAGAGCAGTGCCCGCTAAGGCAACGTTAGTCCTCTCTCCTTCTCCATCCCCCTTGCCCTGGTGCCTGAGAAGCAGAGCATCCCCATAGCAACAGCAGCAGCTGGTCCCTAGATAAGAGGAGCTGGAGCGGGGCAGCAGCAGCCTCTGCTGCAGAGCAACCAGCCAGCCTCAGTGAATAGGAAAGCCTCCTCCTAGTCTCTGGCCTTCTCATCCCGGGGCCCTCACCGATTGGTAAGTGCTTTGGATTTTTTTCTCCACAAACTTTTGTGATGAGCGAAGCAAGTTTCCAATAAGTTACAGCTTCTTTGTGGTTGCTGGGACAAAGAAGGTTGTAGCTGATGGCACTGGGGTTGGGCTTTATGGAGCATGGCTAAGCCGAGGTGTGGAGCAGAAAGTCATTATTTTCATGTCATTTTTTCCAAGAGACGTGGGGTCCTGAGTTTTGTGAAAGCCTGTACCCTCGCAAACTACATTGTAAAGTTTTAAGATGAGCGTTGTGTGTATCTGCGTATTCACACAAGGAGTCTCAGCTTATCAGGCTGGGCAATGTATATCATCTGCATGCCCTACTTCAAGTCACTCCTTGAGGAATAATGTGGATTTAGGTCTTCTCAGTGAATAAATTTGATTTTTAAACGTCGTACTCTTTGGCCTGAATTTCTCAGGTTAAAGAGAAGGGGTAGCAAAGGATATAAATTGTACATAGCTAGATGGGGCATTAATCAGACAGCACATTGGGTGATGGTTGTAATTGTTGAAATTTTTGATTGCATCAAGTACATCTAGACCTGATTACTTTTAGGACACTCTTTAAAATACCATCATCTCACCCAGGTATCCACTGGCTACAGAGAATCACTATGTGCTCAAGTTCTGAAACTGGGTGTTCTGCCATTGGTTTGTGCCTTGAAATGTTCAAATCTTATTAACAGCTTTAGAGAAGTCCAGGCATGGAGCGAGATTATTCTGAAAATCAATTTAGGTAATTATAGATGTAGGCATTATAATCAATCACAAGACTAAGAGTGCAAAGAAGGCAACTCATGCTCATGATAGTGTTAGCATGCGCTGGGTCCTGGGCTGAGTGCTATCCGCATATTATTAATACTCTCAGTGATGCTGGAGAACAGGCACTAGCATCCCCTATTTACAGATGTGAAAGCTAAGTTTTTCAAGAGGACACATGGATTTCCCAAATTCACCAAGTTAAAGAGGGACAAGCAACCCAGCATTTGCTTCTGCCTCCAAGCATCTGAGGTTTACAGTCAAGAGAGGAATTTTCGCCCATGAGTTAAACCGTATATTCTTACATCCAACTGAGAAAGTTACTGGGTCTCAAAAGAAAAAGTTCCCTGACCAGCTTCTGACCTCAAACTGAACTCAATAATCTCCTGCAGCTGCAGAGATAGCATGTAATCCCCCTGAAAAAGAACTAGCCTGAGATGATGGAAGCTGGTCTCAGCAAAACGGGTCCTCAAGTTTCTGCAGGCTGGATTGCCCTCCTGCAACTTCTTGGGAATCCTGCCCAGGCATCGAGTTCCTTAGCCCTTTCAGTTGCTCTTCTCAAAAGGTTAGGTGACCTCTGCCATTAACATTTGCTGAGAACTGTGACATCTGTTTATAGATCTCCTCTCTCAGTCCTATTTGCTTTTACAATTGTGTCTGTGAAAAGAAAAGCTTTGTCTCTTGGGAAAAGGATTAGTCAGGAAGTTGTAAGAGTTTAGCATCTGGGGCCCTACAAACCCTCCTCAGATCCTGAAATCACAACTCCTGATCTCTTTCTTGTACATGCTTTGCTCATTCTCCCAAACCAACACCCAAGAAAAAAAGTATAGATCCACAATCCTTTATTCTCTAAGAAATGTGAAAATTTCTGAAAACCAAAAAAAATCTGATGCTGTTTGTGTGAAGCTCAACATAAAGTTATTTGGTAGCCAAACCTGACCTAGAAGGATTGGAATCTTCATAGGGTCTGTGCTTGCTGCCATTCAGTGTGAAGATTCATATTTAGCTGCAGAAATAATGTGTGCAATCCCTGGTGCTCCCTAAGGCCCCGTGGGGGTATTACATAATAAAAATGCCCTCATTTCCACAGCACATTTGACTTCAAGCTCATCAGGTGAGGGTAGGTGGCCTCAAATTGACAATTACAGAGCAGGACAAGCCACCACTGTGTCACTGTTAAAATTCAGAGACCACGCTGAACCAGAAAAGGCAAGAGATAATGAAGGGTCACAAATCTTTCTACTAGAGACAATTATGGAACAACCCCAAAGGTAAAGTCTCCGTCAACAAGTGCTACTGAACGCCCTAGCTTTTGCGTTGCAATCTGAAGACCCAGAGAACCTTAGATATAAAGGGAACTGGTATCTCCCAAGTCCCCAAATGATAGGAAGCTGCTAAGGAAGATGATGGACACTTCCCTGGATCACGTGACTAGGGCAGGTCCCTGTATGATGCCTGCTTGGAGGGGAGAATGAATCAAAGAGGAAAGCAGGGCAGAGTCAAGAAATAGGCTCAGGTCTTACAATGGTTTGCTCCTAAAGAGCACCCTTTTCTCTGAGAAGGCAAGTGGGGAGTGGAGCAGGTGGTGGCCTCATACTGACATTCAACAGGCAAGTACAGTGGCAATGATCAATAAGAGGGTACACATTCCAAATAGCTCTGCCCTCCAAGTACTTGCTCTTAATGGAGTTTCTCACAGGAAGGTCATAATGACAAAACCCCGTGGGCAGAATGTGTTCCACCAAACATGAGAAATTTTTGTGATAGAAAATATTTTTGAATCTCAAATCTGGAAGTCTTCTCTCAACCCTTCTCGCAAATAGTCCTGCTGGTTCACACTGATTTAGAACAATGTTTGTTTTCCCCATGGACGATACAGCCTCCTTGCAGAGGTAGCACCTGTCAGTCTCATGAGGAATCTCTAGCTGCCCTAGCATGTCCGGGGCCCTCTACTGTGTGGAACTGATCAACCTGGGGCAGGTTCTTCTCTCTCTGCTCGGGTGCTGTCAGGGCAGCTTTGTTCGGATGAGACTGCATTTGAATTGTTGAAAACAAAAGGTTCAATTGTTTCTTAGAATTTTCCACTTACACAGCTATCTAGTGAGGTGTAGAAAATGGTACATGATAAGAGCTATCATCTCTTGAAGAGTGAGTACAATGGGCTAAGCAGTGAACTACACAGGAACTCTATGAGGCAGTTATTATTTCTGTTTTACAAATAAGAAAACTGAGTAAAAATGGCAATTGTGCGGGGGGGGGGGTGTGCGGAGAAGAGAGGGCCATATGTCCCTGAGGGTCAGTCTATAGGGGTATAACAAAGAAGCTAGTCTTGCAATTTTCATCACAACTTCTAGGGAGAGAGGGTAAAATGACTATATTGGGCTGGGGCTCCATTTACCCTCACCTCATCATTAATATTTAGCAACTTCATCAAAGTCACATAGCTTTTTAGTTACTAACTGAGCTGAGATTTAACCTAGGTTTATTGACTTGAAAGCCTGTGTTCAAATAATCAGCTATTGGACACTTGGGGGCAGCTGTGTGACCCAAGCATGAAGAAGAGCGACCTTAAGTCGGGGAGAAGAAGAAGAACAATCACCAGATAAGACCAGAACTCCAAGATCAAATGATGGCTTTGACCATGAGTGCATAACTACTTGGGTCAGATCTTCCCTGGGGTGATTTTCTGTACAACGGCTATGACTGGACCCCTGACTTCCCAGAGAAGAGAAAGATGGGTTAATTAGGTGCAAAGTTCCCCATCTGAGGCTGTAACTTTTCCTTGAGACCTCAGCACAGAGCCCCCTTCTAAGTAGTTACCCATAGCTCTCATCATTAAAGATGGAGGTAGGAGCTACCCGAAATAACAGCACACTTCTTTATGGTCCCGGGGAGTTGGCCATGTCTATATATACATTAAGAACAACGGTCGGCATTGATTTCTGCTGAAGTCACATAGCACAATCAGTCTGCCCAGGGTGACACTAAAAGCCAGGCTCAAGTGATCAGTTAATGGCTCCATCTGCTATGCAATGATCTCAGCTCACAGGGGGAGAGGCCCTCCAGCCTTTCCTGAGAATACTGGCTAATTCCTCAGAAGACAACTAAGTCAAACTTATTCTATGAGCTTGAAATGTTAGCACAATTGGTCTTTGTGTTCCTCTGCACACCACAGGTCCAGATAATCTCAAGAGAAGATGATCAGCTGAGCCAATTTAATCTTATTAGTTCCTCCCCCACCATTCTTGCTATTGTAGGACCCGAGTGCTAATTATCAGAGAACCTCAGAAAGGAACTTAAGAAACAGAATTTGAACAGTCTCTAATGAAGATTTCCTATAAATCTCAGCTAATGCATTTTTCATTCAGACCTGACGCATGTCCATTCTGGATTTTCACTCCTCCTGGGCAATGACTATATCTAATGGCTCTGGAAGTTCAAATGGATTTGTGGTTCAGGAAAGATGGAGGATAAGGGGAGGCAGACAGCCTTGCTCTCATGTCAGGAATCCCTAGGGAGAAAATAATGAAGATCCATCTGAGGCCTAAATTTTCTCCTGGCACAACTCTACCACCCTCATAATATGGACTGGGAAGCAGTCTCATTACTTTATAGTTAGGAGATAGAATGGTGGAAAACTGGTTAAATTTGGATTCAATAATTCACTTTGTTTTTCAGAGATGTGTCTAGTGAAGTCTGTAGAACTATGTAGAACTAGATTTGGATCTAGGCTTGGTAATTTAATAGATGCATGACTAAGGTAAATTAGGTAAACTTTGTGAGCCTCAGTTTCTTCATCTGTGAAACAGACATAATCCTATTTTGCAGGATTCAGCTGACAAAATACAGGTGAAGTTCAATCAAGATTTTCTACTCTGATATGTGGATGCTAACCCATAATGGGGATGTGGGGGGAGCATGGGAGGAATGGAAGAACTTTAGATAGGGCAAAGGGGAGGGAAGGGAAGAGAGGGATAGGAGAGATAGTACAATGAGATGGAAATTATTACCCTAAGTACATATATGAAGACACAAATGATGTGACTCTGAACAACCAGTGACATGAAAAATTATGCTGTATATATGTATTATGAATTGAAATGCATTCTGCTGTCAAGTATGACAAATTAGAATGAATAAATAAATTTAAAATTTAAAAAAAGATTTTCTATAACTCTGAGCTAACTCATTTCTAACTCAGAATCGGTCTAGGTATTTATTCTGAAACTCTTAAAATACCTCTGAAAGAGGAAAAATACTGAACATTTGATATATGACAATTAGCAAATAAATTGTGCCTGCATGGGTGGGTGTATGATCCATCTTATTTGGGCTTAAAGTTTCATACCTAAGTATAAGAAGCAGTCTTAAAAAATAAGATTGAGATGGGAAATAATAGTTAGTGCTCAAAAAATATATTTATTTAATAAGTGAATGAGTGGATGAGCCAAGGGCACACTTACGGACTGTTTCTTACACACCTGTAGTATAAGAAGCACACCCGCTCTCCTTGGATGATGTCCACTGAGCAAATGCAGCCCCTGGAGCTCTCAGAAGACAGACTAGACAAACTAGACCCTCGTTACAGCCACTTAGGTAAGTGCTCCACTGCGAATGTCAGTCATGGAAGTCAGAAAGGGGTGTCTCTGCCATACGGCTTGCAGGCAAGTCAGAAAAGAAGGCCCTGAAACCTGATAGACTGTGCCTTCTGGTGACAGCCAACACCAGCTGGACGGGCAAATAGCCATGGGTCTGTGGGGTCTGCCATGTAAATATTAGCTGAAGCACTGGGGACAGGTTCATTAAAGAGAGAGAGAAAGAGGAAGCATTGTCCTCTTTTGTGGGTCTGCTGGAGTCCCAGGCAAAGCATTTTTGAGGCAATAAATGGGATGTGGCAGTAGAGGTTGTTTCCAGTATTTCCCGGCACACTTACACCCCATGTGCAGTGCCAATAAAATATTTCAAATATCTCTCTTTGCCTATCAAGACAGAATTTTAAATAGCCTTTTTCTGTTTTATTGTCAATCTGTTTCCTTTCCAGAACTGACTTTTTGCATAACCTTTGTAATGAAAATACCAGAAACATTTCTGCCTCTACCCATTTCTAAAAATGAGACACTCAGACTTTTGATGGATGGGCCTTTTGCATATTCATAGCCTTTGTTTATGCCTCGCCCGGTTATGACTCCCCCCTCCTCTTCCCACTCCCCATTTGCCATCAAGATATTTTATGTTCAGAATTTCTCCAAAAGTGGGGAAAAATGCAATTGAAGTTAAAGTATAAACTGAAGCAAATGTCTTGCTCTATGTACTGTGTGCAGAGTGTAGTGCCTTAGGGTCAAAGGGTGGCCCACACCCCTGACAGGTACATTGCCAGGCTGCGCTCCCAGAGACCCCACAGCTGGGCAACATCCATTCTAAGCAACATTCATTCATTCAGTAATTCATTCATTCCTACCTATGGTATGTACAATACGGGAGAAATTAACTGTGCTGTGGGAGAACATGTTTTAAGAATTGCTCTTTTAACCAGGTATATGAAGACTCACAATTCCAAGAGCTTAGGTTTAATTCTGATCCCATAACCTTCTGCCTTTTATTTGACATTTTGAACCTCATTTTCCTTATCTGCAAATTGGGGATTAATAGTACACTGTTTTGGTAGGCTTCTTTTGGAATTAAATGAGATGATGTGTTCAGGAATGATATTAGTGTATTTGACAACCAGGAAAGCACAGGCAGAGGTGAATCAGAAAAACCGCTGGCCAAGCTTGTGTGCTGGAATGACACGGAATCACCTAGAACATAAGTGATACTCAGTAAAGGCTCCTTTACAGCCTTTTTATTGTATATATAAACTTCGTATAATCCAATGCCTCATACGTAGTTTGACTTCAATAAATGTTTATTAAATGGAGATGATTGGATGAAATTATCAAAATCTTTTAGGTAAAGGAAAGGTTTATTACTATGCATGTGACTGAAGAAAATAATGTTATTTGATTTGGGGGTTATGTATAGTGACCTTTTGATAATACAGGCATACTAATGTATGGTTACCAAGGGATGGTGGTTTCCTCAGGCATATTGAATTTTCTAAAACAAAGGATAATTGTTTTAGAAACAATTGTTTCTATTGTAGCCCAATAAACCATAAAACTTGAAGGCAAGAACAATCTACTTGTCCTTTTTATTCCTAGACTCTAGCAAGCCCTGATAATACACTAGGAGCTTAATAAACATTGATTTTATAAATGAACAAATGACAGATCCACAAATGTCCAGATCCACAAACTAAAATGAAGAGATTTGACCTACTTAATTTTCAATGTTTCCAAGAAATTTACCTTGAATATTTTACTGAAAATGAAACAGAGAAGGAAAGAGAAAGAGAGGAGGAGAAAGAGGGAAAGAGGAGAGGGAGGGAGAGGCAGGGATCTGAAAGACTCAGTTAACCTCTGAATGTCCCCCATGTTCCTTCACATTTGTAGATCTAGCCAGACTGCATTCAGGTCATGGTTCAGAGTTTCCAGAGAGGACAAATAACCTGGTTGTTTTTGTGGAACTGGCTTCTTTCAATCCTAACAGAATATCTCCTTACGTTAAACATGTTGGAGTCCATTCATTCAAACATATATTCAGCAGACATTTAATTATTGCTGCTAAGGAGATGAAAGACAAGATGCTATCATTAAAAAAGGGAAGAGAAGACCTGCACAAATCAAAACTACATCAGTAAATTCCTCACTTGTCTTCATTTCTAAGTCCAGAAGGGGCCTCCTGCTGATTCACGCTTGGGCTTCATCATTTGTCACCTTTAACAAATTTGAAGGTGTTACCTGAGCAAAAATCCTGTGACTATTCAGAAAATGAGAAAGGACACACAGGACTGGAGTTTGCATGGAAAGACTGATGAAGAGGGGGCCTTCCTCTGGGCCTGGTGGGACTTTAGGGGCTGAGCCATGGCAGAGGGAACGTTTTATTAAAACATGTGAAATATATCAAATGTATCAGATGCTTTGCTAACATGAGCAAACACACACACACACACACACACACATTCACACACTGATTTAATATTATCCTTGCTTTAAGTATTGAGAGACTATTAAAGTTCCTACAAATTAAGACCATGCTCCCACAACTGGCAAATGAGAGAGTTAGGACTTGGACGTGGGGTGGCTGATTCTCATTCAACAAGCACTTATTGAAGGGAGAGGCCATTAAGAATAAAATTGCATGAAAGCATCTACTCCCTAATGTCTGGGAAGATGCTGAATAGAGCAACAGATGAATCACTGGGAGCAATGAATGAGGGTGAGTGACAGAGAAGGACGAAGGAGAGCAGTAACAACCTTCAGGGGCCAGGACTGATGATCTGATGGAAGTGAGGTAGCCGCAGGACTCCAAAGGCTCTCCTGAAGTCCTGAGGGGACTGAGGAAAAGAAAGAGATGCAGAAGAAGACAAAAGGGCTGGGACTAGGATGGGCAAATAGGAGAGCTGCCAGGCCGGGGGAAAAGAAAGATGAGTGGTGGAACCCACGCGTGAACCATCAGGAGGACAAGACTGTCCCAGAAGCGAAAGAGAGTCGGGAATTTACTGAGCACCCCAGGGAAACTTCCCAAGATCAAGGTTTCTAAAGAGAGCAAGCCTTGGGCAAAGGAAATTGAACATTAGCACAGAGAGCCTACCCCGTCAGAAACAACGCAAACCCACACTGAGGTCTGCCCAATCATATTTTGAAGTTCTTCTTTGTCTTGCTTTTCAAATTCTCTTAATTTGGGGTTTCACAGAATTCCAGTTTTCCTTTCTTCTAGTCTATACTTGAGTAGACCATTCTGTAAGTCTACTCAAGTCCTCTGTGGAAGAGACAAAAATAATAAACATTTTCCTTTTTCAGAACAAATGACCACTGCTCCCAGTGTGGGACTAACCCTTACTCATGTTATATTCTTCTTCTTCTTCTTTTTTTTTTTTTTGCTTTATATCCTGTCAAAAGCAGATGATCTTTCAGACCAGTTCATTAAGGACTGTGATCTCAAAAAGAAGCCAAGAAAGGGGAAGAACACACAGGCCAACCTGAATGTTGAGTCAGACCAAAAAAAACCAAGGAGGAAAGATACACCCGCCCTGCACATCCCACCTTTTATACCAGGTAATGGACAGCTAATCCGCCTTGCACAGCTGGGAAGGGGAACCACCCCCACTGGACCATGTTGGTCCTAACACATCTCTTTAAATATTTGGGTATTTAAATGCTAAGTAACAGCTATACAGTATTATATTTATAATGCAGTATTTTTCACTCACTGAGAGTGGACTTTGGGGACAGAAAGGCATGCACTGCTCCAATCATTGGGGGTACAGCTGATGGGCTCTGATATTATCAACAGACAGTGAATAAAGCCACCACAAACTTCCAAAGCCATCATGCTCATCAACATTCAGCAGGCATGAAGCGTTGGAGAGGAGGATTGGTGGGGAGATGGGTGTGAGACAATCACAGGCCACACCTGACTACAAAGGAGCCTGGAAATATAATCCAGCTCCATGCCCAGGAAAAACATGGAGCAGTTTGATGAACAACTAACATGTCTCTCTATGAGACCTGAGATGTGACATGTGAAACTCCCTTCTGCTCAAAAACTTTATTTGCTTGGTCTGTTTCTCCTTCACTCTTGGTCATTCCCTTCTTGTCGTTTCTATTCACAACATACATTGAAGGGTACAAAATAAATGAAACAGCTATTTCTGGGAAGGAACTTTCATATGTGTAAGAAATAACAGCCCAGACACACCTGAAATCTGCAATAAGAAGAAACATCACAGGCTAGGATGGAACTCTGTTGTAGAGCACTTGCCTAGGATGCCTGAGGCCCTGGGTTCGATTTCCAGCACTGTTAGAAAAGGAAAAGGAAGGAGCATCATAATGGAAGTTCTAATTAAGAACCAGGGAAAATGAGCCTGGGTAGTGAGTTCTGATTTTCAGAGGATTATTAAATGATGGAGAAAATTTTCACCTGCAGAACAGAGGTGAGAAGGCAAGTAGGTGAGGTAGGGCAATAATTAAGGTCTAAGGGTGGAAGTTTGAGGCACAGAACTTGCAGAACCGAAAATTACCCCACTGGCTAAGGAAGATGAGCTTTGGAGACAAAAAAAAAAAAATCCAGGCTCAATCCCCATCCAACACCTAGAAAATGGAATAAATTGAGCCCATTTCTTTATCTCACCTATCATCTCAGGTAGATCATGGTGGTGGTAATACTAAATCCCTCAGGGATTTATGAGGCTAAAATGAAATCAGGCATGCAAACCCCTTTGTATAGATAGAGGATGTTCCTAGTGCAGTCTGCATAAGTATTATTCTTACGCTAAGGAAACTTCATTTATTAAAATAAGTTTGGGAAAGCAACCTTGACTACCTTCACCAGGTGTATGTGCTATGTTTATGCACAACCCTTCTGTATGGGATATGTTCACTTGACCCTGCTTCTGTCTCTCTGTTCCCCTAACCATGCAGGTGTGATTTCAGAACATCTAATTAAAAGATATGATGTTCAGGACAGACGTCCAAAGGGCAAAGTAAACCCAGCTCTTCATAACTCTGACCTGGAACAGAAAAGGCCAAGGAGAAAAGACACACCTGCCTTGCACGTGCCCCCCTATGCAGCAGGTAAAAGAGCAGGAGGTGGTGGGAATGGGTCGGGAGCCTGACCATCTGGAGGTGCCAGGACATGGCCTTTGTCCTGGCCCAGCAAGTTCAGTCTTGCCCAAGTGCTCTAGGGAGGAGTCACATTTACTGCTGCCTCTCAGATTTATCTTCATTGGCAGTTCCCGGGGGGATGACCTGGAGATGCCAGAGGCTCAGAGATTACTCCTGCTTCAGCAGAGCTGGTCAAATTCACTGAGCCAGTGAAACAGAAATGTCAGTGGGTCCTTGAGAACTGGTGAAATACCCTTCCCCGTCGCAAGTGGACTAATTGACCAAGTTCTCAAAATAGGAGAGAGAGGAAGGGAGGAAAGAAAGAGAAGTGCAGAAATACTGATAGCTATCTTATTATGTGTCCAATAGAAAACCTTACTGATCTGTGTTTATAATCCCAGGCTATAAGGGAGACTGTGTATGAGATCTAGTCCTTGTCCCTGAGAAGTTTATATGCAAGTTAGGAAATAAAATGTGTACACTCATGATGATTAGAGTGTGAGACTGTGTGTGTGTGTGTGTGTGTGTGTGTGTGTGTGTGTGAGAGAGAGAGAGAGAGAGAGAGAGAGAGAGATGGTTTTGTAGGGAGAATAGCAAGTGAGAGATGTACTAATATTTACTGAGAACCCACAAAATGTTAGATATGGCTTGTATCATGGATTTTTAAAAAGTCTACTGAGTAATGTAACAGAGTAGCTTTAACCTCCCTTTAAAGACAGAGAAACAGAAAAACAATTTAATTCACTTGTCAGACGGTTTAAAGTCTTACCTGGATGAGATGGATAGATGGAAGGATGGATAGAAGGATGGCTGATTAACTGGTTGGACTAATGATAGAATGGCCAGATAAATAAGTGAACCAATCAAGGTTAAACACTACTAGGTAGAACAGCTGGAGTTCAAACCCAAGCCTCTCCGGCTTTAGCCAGGTTTTTACTATACTGTGGGGTGGTTTGGACTTCTAGCAACATAGGAATGCAGAAGTTCCACTTTTGGAAGGAGATAAGATTTGATTGTTACTAAGAGTTTTCCATTGTTTAATTTTTTTTTTGGAGGGGGTACTGGGGATTAAACTCAGGGGCACTTGACCACTGAGCCACATCCCCAGCCCTATTTCTTATTTTATTTAGAGACTGGGTCTCACTGAGTTGCTTAGCACCTCACTTTTGCTGAGGCTGGCTTTGAACTCGAAATCTTCCTGCCTCAGTCTCTTGGGATTACAGGTGTGCACCACCACACCCAGCATTCCATTATTTAATTTAATAAAGGAGGAAAAAGACATCTCAGAAAAAGACACCATGACAAACGAGATCAGGGCCTCTAGATCTCCAAGCAAGCTAGAGGGACGAGTCCCAAGTTCCACGAAATTTGTGTTCTCTCTCCTTCCCTTCCTTTCATACCCCTCATCCTCTCTTTCCAACTCTTTTTCCTTTCATCCATTCTTCCTTCTTCACCACTTACCTTCTTACCTGTATATCAAAATGTATGTGACCCCACCTGGTCATGTTTAGCAGTATTTCTCCCCAACCCCACCCCCACACACACTTATATCCACACACATTTCTAGTGACCAGCCTTTCTGAGCTCTGACTAGATGTAACCTTTTATCATAATAAATTATACTGATAACACAAGAAGTTTGGAACAGGCAGAAGTCTAATCCTCAAACAACCCTCAGTATTTTAATGAATATTTATTAAATCCTTGCTGTGTTCTAGGCACGGATACTGCAAGAAAGTCAATCATCATAGAGTTAGCCAGACACAATAGTGCATGCCTATAATCCTTGGGAGGCTGAGGCAGGAGTTCAAAGCCAGCCTGAAGAACCTAGTGAAGGCCCTCTCTCTAAATAAAATATAAAGAGGGCTGGGGATTGGCTCAGTGGTAAAGTGTCCCTGGATTCAATCCCTGGTACCAAAGAGTATTTGAGCCAAAAGTGATGAGTTCAAGTGACCTCAAGTGGCAAAGTCTTTAGCTTTTACTCCCTCAGTATTTATTGAGAACCTACTATGCACTAGGCACTGTTGGGAGTGCTAGACATACATTAGAAAACAAAACTAAAAAAAAAAGTTCTTGTCTTCCCCGAGTGTATATTCTAGGTAGGGGAATATAATAACTAAATATTTGGTCCTGAAGCAGAATTAACACATATTTTCCAAAACTCACTCACAGGTAGGCAAATTGTAAACCACGAGATAACTCTCTCAGAGAGAAGGATGGTTCCCATGATCCCTTGTATCACTTGACTGGGCAGGATCTGCATTAGCCTCTTCCTTCCCTCATTTGTCTTTTACTTCAGTCAACAGAGGTGGCTGAGCACAACTCTCCTACCTCATGCAGGACTTGAAGGAAGAAGCCGCTCTCCAGCCTCTAACGGGTACACGGAGAACAAGCCAGGGGCAAAATCCTTTCTTCTTTCACAGTAGATTTGCTATTGGAAAAGGAGTCCAGAGACCTTGGTGTAACTGACTTAAGAATAATAGCCAATAGTTACAATTTATCCATTCCAACACTTAACCAAAGGAAGAAGGGGCTGTTACACGGTGATATTTCCATGGTAGAGCTGCATCCGTTGATGCAATAATAAAATATCTGATAAGTCTTGCATCAAAGTAATCATTTTGACTTATGTAACCCAGATGAGCAAACTCTGATCCATTGCCATGATTTTTTTTTCCTGTTTCCTATTAGTCTACTCATTCTATAGGTTATGCTGCAATATGGGTATGATTCAATCACCTTATGTTTCTGGTGTTGACTTTGATATCAGCTAGTCCAATCTTTTCTATATAGCAGTGCTCCATAATTATCTGCTGATTTGATATTCTACCTGTCAATCATGATTCTGCAGTACCTGATAGAGACTGATTATTTTCTACCCATTCTTGTGTTTATTTTACTGCCACAGAGTTAGTAGAGAGAAAAAAATACTTACAGGCAGGGAGCCATCTGACTACATAAAATTTTGCATGGGCTTTGAAGGCAAGAAAACTCTAGATTTCCTTTTCTGCTCCTTAGTACCTTCAAAGCTCTGAAAAATGAACACAACTAAGAACCTTTTTTATTTCATGCATTTAGAGGGGGGCTCTAAAATCTATCTCAAAGCACTGAGAACACTATTAAATAAAGTGTCAAAACACTTAGCAGAGTTTTTGGCATATTGAAAGTCCTCAATAAATGTTAGGTCCTCTTCATTTTCTGTTTAATCTTATATTCTTTGAGATAGGTCAAACAATTTCTGAAGATGAGAATTCTCCTACTTCATACAAATCTGCTGATTCAGGGAACTTCCTAATTGATTGAACTCTGATCACTTGGCAATGGATGTTGCCTATATGCCACTACCTAAATCCCCAATTAACAGCTTCCCCATTGAATCAAAAATGTTTATCAAATACTGCAGCATGTGTAAGGGTTGGAGGGGTGCTGTATGGCCATAGACTCGACACTCATTATGGAAATTTTTGAGTCAGCAAATGTTTACATTTAAGTATGTGCAATTATAGATATTGTTGTATGATTCTAGCTTTTATTAGCATATTAGCTGAAGTACTCTATTTTTGAAGAGCCTTTTAGTATCTAAAGATTTGGCAGTAATCAAAATGCTAGTTAAGCTGATAAGGATAGCGCCTTCGGCAGATGTTCAGAAAAACTCACGTTGGTTCTAATGAGGGTGTTGGGAGGAACTCACAGACAAATGCACCCTGGAGACATCTCCTCTCATTAGCCCTTGGCAAGGGAACACTGGACATGGATTCACTCTCCCTTCTAAGTCTCTTGCTAACCACCGTCCTTCTCCTAGGTTAATGAGCTCATTTGACAGGTTCCAACTGCCAGAATAGCCCCTCAATAGGGTATCTCAGGCTCCCTTGCCAGCTCCAGGCTTGCTCCCAACTTGGTCCACAGTTTTCCAGGACCCCCATCTTGATGATTTCATGGCAGGGAGTGCTGGTGATTGGTCCAGGACCAGGTAACCAAGCATTGCTTAAGAGAGAAGGAAGTCTTGAGTTGGAGTCTGTAGCAAATAGAGCCAAGCATAGCTTGGCTCGAAGCATGAAAGAGAAACCTGCTGGAAAACTGGTCCATAAGCTGTGAGCATCTGGCAGTCTAGGGGAATCAGACATTAAAATAGTGTGCTTGTACAAAGGAAAGGGACTGGTTTGTCCTTTGAAAGTGACACCTCCTCTGTCTTGCTTGTAATAACGTATTTTCTAAGATGGTTAGTTAGGACAGGGGGTGCCTTCTCTCTGGTTCCTCTAGGTCAGAGTGGATGATCAGTTGTAGATGGTGCTTTACATGGGATCCTGCTCAAAAATAGCTCACTGTAAGGCTCATTGCCCCTCAGAGGTCATTTTCAAATCACCAAAGCATCAAGAACAACAATGCAGTCGTGATATATATATTCCTGATTTAAAGCTCATCCTGAACAATAATATCCATGAAGTCAAGATTTTGATAAGCTCCTATGTTAGCTTTCTATTACTTTGACAAAGTACTTGAGAAAATTAACATAAAAGGAGGAAAGATTCAGTTTGTCTCACAATTTCAGAGATTTCAGTTCTTGGTCCTTGACTCTGCTGCCTTTGGGCCTGTAAAAGCAGAAATATCATGCCACGAATGGTGTGATGCAATAGAGCGACTCACCTCATGATGGCCAGGAAGCAGAGAAGAGAAAGAGAGAGAGAAGGACCCAAAGGGGCCAGTGTCCCAATATCCTCTTCAAGGGCATGCCCACAATGACCTAACTTCCTCCCACTAGGCCCCACCTCCTAAAAGTTCCATCTCCTCCCAAGAGTTCTGTAAGCTGGGGAACAAACCTTCAATAGCTGAATCTTAGGGGAGACATTTAATTAAGCTCCAAATCATAACACATAACTTTATTATAAAACATTAAAATTACTGTTTAGCTACACAAATATAAAACAGTGGTTCACATTATTTTTTTATTTTTTTATTTGGTATAATTAGTTTTACATGGCAGTAGAATGCACTTTGACACATCATACATAAATGGAGAATAACTCTCATTTTTCTGGTTGTACATGATGTAGAATTACACTGATCGTGTAATCATATGTGTGCATAAGATAATTTATGTCTGATTCATTCTACTATTCTTCCTACCTCCATACCCCTTCCCCTCCTTTCACTCCCCTCTGTCTAATCCAAAGTAACGCTATTCTTCCCTAGCTCCCACCTTACTGTGAATTTGCATCCGCCTATTAGAGAAAATATTCAGCATTTGGTTTTGGGGATTGACTTATTTTGCTTAGCATGGTAGTTCACCTTCAACTTGAAATTACCTCATGTGCTCCTGTGGGTAGGCCACTCCACTTTAGGAAGCATCAGCCTTTGTCATTTAGTAGGTTCCTCCTATCCTTGAAATCCCAGGACTTCTCCACCCACCCCCCAACTTTTGGCCCAGATTCTCATCTTACTCTATGTCAAGGATACCCAAAGTAACCACAAAGTGTACCAAGACCTGGGAATATAAAGGCTCTCACCCATTTTGAATCAACCTACATGGAGACATATCCAGGAAGGAAGGATGAAAAGTTTCAGAATTCAACATAGCTAAATCTACATTCTCCTACAGGCTATCTTAAATTCAAATAAAAATCCAATCCTCCACGCAGCTGGTATCAGAGAGAATATCTCCCACTGTGTTTCATACGTGATTTATGCAAAAGCTTTAGTTCCAGCCAGACTCTTGAAATTGTTTTTTCTCCTCCAATAAATATTAGCTAATTGGTAAGAACAAACTAGGAACTGAATCAAATGAATAGTCATTAAGATTAACACATAGTTTTCATTAATTTGCCACTGTTGAATGGAGTCCAGTGCTATAGAAAGGCCTCTTGTGGTGCTCAGCTTCCTCCCTCAAGTTTAGATCTTTATGAACTGCTTCATGGACTGGAGCCTCTAATTACGAGAGGAAGGAGAGAGGGATCCAAGGCAAGGGTACAGGACACAACTGGGGGCTGGAATGGGAGGACAGGATTGGCCTCAGTCACAGTTCCACGGACCTTTGTTAAAATGATCCTACTTGACCCTTCATAGGGTGAGCAGAACTATCCCGACCTCCTTGGCTGGACTTTTCTGAGCTAATCAGCCCAGAAAATTGGGCTCAGAAAAGAAATTCAGACTTCTGAGTTTCATAGACCAGAAAATTCTTTAAGAACAAAATATCATGGGGCCCAACAGAGGGATAGCAACTTCTTTATTTTATTTTTTGAGTAAGAATGAGAAGAAACAATCATCTAACATGTCTAAAATTTTTTTAAAAGAAAAAGATATTTTAATCCTCCAAAGAAGGCAAAGAGTTGTCTCAAAATAAAGAGCCCCTTTTTAAATTATAGCTATACAGTTATATGGAAAAACTCACATTTTTCTTATTTTCCTTTTTTGCTCTAAACTATGTGCACCTCATCATTTCCTGGGACTAACTTTTGGAAATGGCATGTCCAGCACCTTGGCTTAATATTTTCCCTGGTTGTTGGTAAAATATTTCAAAGCTTGACTTCATGAGGATGAGCAGTTGATTGGGGGGGTGGAGGTGGCGGGGGAGGGGGGACGGGGAGAAAGAAAAAGAAAAATGCATTTAGTTGTTCACAAGTATGATGCTTTGCTAAGTGGGTTATATTTACCTTAGTTAACCCAATAACACTTTATAATAAGCAGTAGTGTTCTCATTTTACATATGAGATTAAGAGGCTGGCTGAACTAAGCCCAGTGCAATTGAACTCCAAAATCCCATGTTTTCCATCCTATAGTACTGCAAGCTTAGGATCAGAAATCAGAGAAAGAAGGTGAAGGTTGTCTCTGACTCCCAGGCTTTGCATCCCCTTGCACCCAGAGTGGTGTCCTCATTGAGCACCTTGGGAAGGCCAAATAAGGCCACCCAGTACCCTCTCCCTCAGCACAGATGCTAAACGTTTCTAGGTTGCTGAGCTCCTGTGTCTGCACTACCAGGTTGTCTAATATTTGAAGCAGAGGCACTTAATTGCAGCTCTGTGCTTTGTTTTGTAGGTGTGAGACTGCTCAGGGACCAGAGACCCAAAGCGATTGTGGAAGATGACGAAAAGGATGGTGACAAGATAGCTATTTAAAGATATTTCCCCTGAGATCACTTGTAAATAGGTTAGATTGGTTCCCTATGGTGACCTAGGGAAAAAAATAGCCTTGTTTCTGTTCGCATTTTGTCCTAGTCTGACGTTCAGATCTAGACACCTCCTCCCCAAGAGACATACTACATCAGATTGCCAGTCACCTCTGCTGTCTTTTTTTTATCTTTCTTGAGCCTGGTTTCTATTCCAACTCCATACATTTTCATTTTCCAATGCATGAGAAAAGAAACAGATCACCCCAAATTAGGAGTTAACAGGGAAAGCTTGGGGAATTCCATTTCTGCATCTTCTGGATCAATTCACAGAGCAGAGAACATGGATAACAAGGGGATCCTTTGTGGCTGGTTCATCTGTGAGTCAGAACTCACCATCCAAACACCAGTTCTAGTAGGGACTCCCTATTCTAGCTGGGGAGGTAAGAAGGTTTGGGTCTTAATTCACTGATTGCCCTGGAGTCTTATTTCTCCTGCCCTGACTTGAGAGTCCAGTTCTTTTGACGCTCCTAAGAATCTTGTAACAGAAGCTGTAAAGTGAATTTATGAACTCTAAGAGTCGACCCAGTTCCCCATGGCAGGGCTGAAAATGCCGGTAACAGAGAGGACTTGTCTGTCTGGAAATTTTACCAACATATCCTCTTATTTATTTATTTTTTTTTTTTAAAAAAAAACAACAATTCTTCACCATGGTTGTCCTGACATTTGAGAATTATGTCACAAGTGAGTTATTACCAATGGTGGGTAAAATATCAATGCTCATGATGGATTTACTTTTTATAAATTTAAAGCCAAATGAAGGTCATTCTCGTATTTTTGGGCATCTCACTTATTTAGGTTCCTTCACGGTTTGTTACAGAAGAGAGGAAATTGTGGTGTTAGCCAGTAAGCAGTGGTCTGTATTTAGCTCCTGTCCCGGCTTCCAATCTGTGGGTGCCTTTGAGGAGTTTTGCAAATGGATCTCATCCATCAACCAATAGATGAGGAAAAAGACGAGAACTACCATTAAAAATAAGAAAAGTCAATATTGAAATCATCATATTTCAGAGTGAGAATACGGAAGCTCTGTGTATTTCCTAGTTCCAACAGTTTATTAATTCCTTCTGTGTTTCTGTTCCCCTCACAAAGAGGAAAAAGATGCAAGACAGCTGGAAATAAAGATACTTCTATCCACATCTCTATGCCCTGGTGCATTTGTCCTGAAAGCACTACTTACAAAGAATGGAGGCTGCAAAAGAGACTCCCAAGTCTTGGTTTTGGTTCAGTTTGTTTTGGTTTGGAAATGCTTGGATTAGCTGTTAATATGTAACAACACAATCAGGAGAACTTACACAAAATTCTAGATTTCCAGATTCTCTTGGGAAAAAAACATCTCAAAAGCTGGTAACTTTGGGTCTGATTAGAATTGTGGGCCTCCAGCAGGAGCTGACCACTGGATGCCCTTGTAGAAGAAGCTTGGTTCCCAGTTGGCTGTGGGCTATGTTCTCACACCACTGTGTTTACCTCCAGCCTTTGCATGTAAGTAGAGAGACCAGTAGCAAGGACCCGCATCCTATTCCCTGCCTTTGGATTCCAGCACTCCATTCCCATTCTGAACACCTCAAACCTAGTTTGTTGAGGGAGGGAAATAAAGTAATCAGGTTGCTGGTTGTAGCACAAATGGTTAAACAGCCTATAAGAAGCCAAAGCAGGGCTGGGGTTGTAGCTCAGTGGTAGAGAGCTTGCCTAGCATGTGTGAGGCACTGGGTTCGATTCTCAGCACCACATAAGAAAATAATAATAAGTAAAATTAAAGTTATTACAACTAAAAATATTTTTTTTAAAAAAAGAAGCCAAAGCAATTATAGGTATGTGAATAGCAGGATTATATCACTACCAATAGCCATTTTTACCAAAGGATCCTTACCCAAAAAGCATGCGCGTACTCTCGTCCTATCTGATTTGCTGAATAAACATGTCCACAGGGTATAACTGACAACTCCTAGGCTGCTCAGAAAAGTCTCCATTATTTCTGACTTCCTGAGGTAGGGTGACTGCAAAGTGGCTATTGTAGAAATAAAGATCCTAGTTCCAGCCCCAACTGAGCAAGTCCCTGGGACTGAGTCTGGCTCTTTTTTTTTCTTGAAAATAAGGATAATAATATTTGCTTTTCTTTCTTTAGAGTTTGAGAATTAAACGAGATAATGTGTGACAAAGAGCTTTGTAAGCTAAAATGCCCTCTCCAACTGTAGCACAGGAGAATGTGAAGACATCTTCAGAGCATGGACCGTGCCTTTTCCATGTTCCAGTCCCCACTGCCTGGGTGTTGAATGGGGAGCAGTTTTGTAGAACTGACTCATCGCACTTAAAGAAGGGTTTCAAGTAGGGAGATCAGGTCACTTTTCACAGTCTTCACTGAAAGACCAGCCCTCTCCTCCTCTGTGGCCCAGTTCCAGCCTCAAACCAGGCATACTCAGAATGGGAGGGACCCAACCAACCCAACCATAACCAACCCTCACATTGCTCCAGTGATTTGGATGGAGCCCACTAAGTGGACAGGATATGTCACATTCCTCTGCAAACTGCCTGTTACCTGCAAGAAAATGCAGGCCGGGTATGATATTGATAAGAGGAGCCCAAGTTACTTTGAAGGGAGAGACTTTTGTGATTCTTTTCACAGACCAGATTTTGGAGGCAAGGATAATTCTGTGGTTAAGGATCCAATGAGAACCTCTGAGCGTGGGCTTCAGTGATAGAGTTGTCATGGCAGCGGAGACTTGAAAGTCAGATGTCGCCCTGTTGTCAGCCAAAAGTCAAGAGGTGGACCTGGCAGGTTTCCTTGGAAATCTCCCTGAGACCCCCAATAAAACTGGAGGGCAGGACAGGCACATGGTCCTCTCTGAGAGGACCCACTCTCTCCCTTGAGAGTGTCCCCTTCCCCTTTTCCTATCCTTTTAATAAACTCATTTCTGTTACTCTGAGCAGACATGTCTAAAATCTTTCTGACTTGCTCATAGGATTCAGGGTTTGAAGGGGGTCTTCATGCTGCCTCAGTTTCCTGGAAGGTCCACTCTGAACAGCACGGCATAACCCAACCCAACCCTAACCAGCCCTCACATTGCTGGGGTGATGTGGGTGGAAGTCAAACCTCCCTCGTGTCCTTTGCCCCACGGGACTGTTTTCTAGCTAGATAAAGCAGAGGTTTAATTATTAGGTTTGCATTCCAATTATAATGATTCTCAGTATGTTTTGAACAACTGCCCTCCAACCAATAATAGTTCTAATAAATTAAAAGCATTTCATGGTATCCATTCAGAAAGAATGCTCAAATTTAAGGCGCCCCAAAAGGATTGGTGCACAGCCGCCATTCCTTCATGCTGAAGGCCATCTACCAGGACATGGAGCCCAAGCTGCTGAGAGGAGGAAGCACTGGAGAGACTTAGCTGCCTTTCAAAAGCCCCACACAGGGCCTTTCTTTAAATCCATACAGCCTTTAAAAGCCATAGGCTGAGATCACACAGCCAGCTTCTAATGCCTAATTATCACTTGAAGAGGCAAAAGCTGGTACTGATAGGTAGAGATAGGACCATAAAGGACTCAAGCAGAGTTTCCTTTTAAATGCAATGAAGTGGGTTTTCTCCCCACAGCCTGTGCAGTCCAGGTTCTCTTCTTTAAAGAAGGATAGGCTGAGATAGCATGCAGTCATGAAAATAAGTTAGTAAAGCAATTATTTTTTTGCCAGCTGAGAATCAGAGGCTAGTTACATGACAGATCTTAGAGAATCTCTGTCATCCAGTGTAAATGAGGCTCCCTTGCCACCTGCAATTTGTAAGTGTGAGCATGTGTCAGAAAGCTCCCTAAGGCCATGAGAGAATGCACAGGAAATGGATGGACTTGCAACTTCCTCCTCCGGTTCTCCAGGACTGCCTTTCACTTATGATCTGTGCAGAGGCTCAGAACACTCTGATGACCCTGAATGATTCTTAACCCAAAAATCGGGGCAGAAGACTCTCCATAGGTAAATGTACTCATAGGGAAAATCATGTGTGATTCAAAATCACCTCTGCCCTGGAAAATCCAAGATATCAGCTACCATTTCTCCAGAAGAAAAGGATGAGCATGTCCTAAGATAATGGAAACCTTCTGAGATGTCCTAAATTTTGTTATATGGGCCAACAAATGGAGGAGGGGAGTGGGGGGAGAGATAACACGTCAAACTTACAGTAGAACTATTCCACACTCCAGATTGTATGCTGAAACCCTGACTCAAATCCCAGGTGGCCCATGGACACAGGACATCATGTCCTGCTTACCTCCCCCAACCAACCCAGAAACAGTAAGGGCTTCTCCTTAGGATCTGTCATATTCCCAAACTTTCTCCATTCTGTTGTCCTTCCCCTCTTATCTACAACTAATGTAAGCCCGAGGCAAACTCTGATGCTTTCCTTCTCCAAATTTTCTTTATAAAATACTCTCAGCTCTGTCTAGTAGACAGCTTTCCAATTTCTATATAGACTTGCTGGAACTTCTATACAAGTTTGCTGGAACTTGTCCCAGGTTCTAGGACTGTGTCCTTTTATGGTTAGCACTGTGAGGGTTCAACAAAACCTTTAATTTCAGAGTTCCATCAGTCTCAAGACGTTGGACTTCACACTAACCCAGAGTAACATGTCCTTCCTAGTAAGAAGATGAGATTCCTTCAAGGAAATTGCAGGAGACTTCCTGAGAAGAAACAAGATATGGAAAACAGATTTGCTCCTCTGAAACCACATGGCTCTTCCATCTGATGTCAGATATGTACCTTGAAGGCTAAGTAAAAACAGCAAATTTTAGATTTTTGTGTCCTTAAAATGTATGTGTTAAAGCTGTAGTGAAACAATATATAATTTAATATTTATCAGTTAAATCATACTTAAAATTTATTACTCAACTACTGAAGTAGTGCTCTTTGGAAAAGGAACAGTGTTCTCTGAGCCTTTGTGTTTGTTCAACATTTTTCTCATGTCACCTCACCTGATCCTCAAAAGCAATTTGTAAGAAAGCTAAGGTGGGAAACGGAGCTGGAAAGGAAGCCAGGACTGGAACTCGGGTCTCAGAACTCCCTGCCCAATGCCGTTTATATGGTACAGAGCTCTTCTGAAATCTTCCTTTAAAGTAGGGCCCAGCATGTAGAAGAGGTCAAAGAGGGAACTCTTTCAGAGATCCAAAAAGGAATAAATTATAAGAGTGTTTTCTGACCCTAACCTTCTGTCTCCATTTTTGAATGAATAAATATATAAACTTTCCAACATGCAAAACTGAATCACTGCTACCAGACCCAATGTCAGAGGGAGGTGATGAGGTTATTTCTGTCTTCTCACTCCATCCTAGACACTGTGTCATCCATTCTCCACTTTGCAGCTAGAAGGACCCTTTCAAACTCACATCTGATGATGTGGGGCCCTCTTAATGTCTTCTCTCTGCTTCAAATAAGGGCAGATGTCTCAGCCAGTACCCTGCTCTCTCCACCTCCACTGAGCTCCAGTGACATTGGCCCCTACCACTGCAGGGGACACTCCTCTCCCTTCTCTCCTTTGTATCCACTCATCCATCCCCAGTCCCCCATCACACAGTGAAGTCCTGCTCATCCCAGAGCTCAGCAAGCTGCTACTTCCTCTACTTTCTGACCAGGCCAGGTTTCTCCATTATTCACATATTCATGAACCAACAGGTTCTATCCCTCTACAGTTCTTAGCTCCTTTTGCGATCATTCATCTGTATAACTGGTTAACATCTGTCTTCACTGTTGTGGAAGGGCTGTGAGTGCAGGAATTGTGTCTGGTTTTGCACCACTTGTGTTCTATATAGGGTTTAGAATTTTGTAGATGCTTAAGAAATGTCAGTAAATGAGTGAATGAATGGATGAATTTTGTAAGAAGCCAAGTCTGATAGCTCAAAGTTGTCTTGCCACCTCATCAATTGGAGGAACACAAGGTTACCATCTCCTGCAAAAGATTAGGTAATGACTAGAGAGCTGAAAGCAAATATCAGCTACAGCAAGTTGGTCTGCTTCCTGGACCCAATATCTCAGAGAGTCTTCTTAATACACAAACCCACCTCACCAAGGACAGTTTCCTGTCAATAAAGTCTACAGGCCCCCAGGAATCAATGGTGAGGCACGAAGAGGGAAGAGCACCTTCCACCAACCTGAGGGTTC